GCTAGCTGCTGGCCCTCCACGCTGGCCTCCGGGGCAGTGCCGTTTTCAGGGGAGCTGCCCCTCTGACTCTGGCCTAGGTCGGCCTGGACGCTCTTGTGGGCCTTGTCCAGGGGGCTTGGTCGGAGCCGCCCCTTGACGGACAGGAGCCGCTCGACCACCTCTTCCAGGGTGCATTCCTGGGCTGCAGTGGGGGACATTCAGGGTCAAGGGAGGGGGCCAGAAAAAGGGATGGGAAGGAAGGGACGTGGGCTGGAAGGGGAGGCAGGAAAGGGGTGGCCATCTCCCTTGGGCAGCCCCTAAGGGGCTGAGGATGGCTCCCCTTGGTCTAAGACTCCTGTCTGCCCACCAGCCCGCATCCCCGTCCCCTGCCCCTCACCGTCGCTGGCCAGGAGCACGGCCCGGTTCACCAGGCTCTCCAAGGCCTCCCAGAGCAGCTGGCTGGAACGGTGGGTGGGTTCCAGGTGCAGGAGGCCCTGCAGCATGGATAGCAGCTGGGTGGACGCCGGGGAGCAGCTCACCTGGGGAGGCAGGTGGGGGCGGTGGGTCAGCAGCGGTCCCCTCCCAGGTGGGCTGAAGACTGGGCCTGTCTGCTGGGGGCGTCCACCCCATCGCCCCCCATGCCTCATGGGAGCCCTGGTGATGGCAGCATCAGAGCCTGCGGCACTGGTGACATTTGGGACCGTCTTGTGCATTATGGGATGTTAAACAGCAGCCCTGGTCTTCGCCAACTCTGTGCCAGCGGCACCCCCCGCCTAGTACTGACAACCAGAAATGTCTTCAGGGGCTGCCTGGGACACCATCACCGCAGCTGAGAGCCACCAGCTCAGAGTATGAACGGCCGGGCCTGAGCTCCGCAGGAACTCGGCCTCCTGGCCCCCCACCCCTCCGAGTCCACCCGATGGGCCCAGGACAAAGGCCAGCTCTGGGCAGCCCTGGCCTCTGGAACCCTGTCCTTCTAGGTCCTGCAAACCCAGCTCTGTCCCTGGACAGCCCAGCCTGGCGCCCAGTGCTCCTGCACTGCCTCCCCTCCAGCCCCCGCCCTTGCTGCTCCCCGCAGTGGGGCTGGCCAGGCCATGGCGGGCTGGGCCAGGGCCGATGGGGGCCATTCGAAGCCCTGGACCTTGGCCGCAGCCCACCCTGGTGGGGCCTCCCTCCGCCCCCACAGCCAGGCCCACCTTGTGGAACAGGGAGGCGAAGACCTCCTGGTGGCTGTTCATGTTAACCCCGCCGCACACGTGCAGCAGCTCCTCCTCGTCCTCGGCCTTGGCCTCCTCGAAGGCCTCTAGCTGGATCAGCAGGTCGGCATCCTCCAGGTCTCTGAGGTGGGGGGGCTGGCTGAGCCTGCTGCTCCCACCCACCCCACTCACCACAGGCGGGGGCAGCCCCGGGCAGTGCCGGCAATTCTGCCACTGCAGACCCTGAGTGAGGCCGGGGATGCCAGCCCGAGAGAGAGCGGCGGCTTGCCCCTGCCAGGCTGCCAGGTCACCAGGGCAGCTCCACCCCTCTGGGGAAGGTCAGGCTCCCCCACTTCCACCAAAAGATGTGCACACCCAGGCCCACGTAAGGGGGGCCAGGGCTGAGAGCCAAGAAGGGAAGGCCCCCCTCTGGGTGCCGGGAGGGCATGGTCAGACCATAGCCGAGGCAGGTCCACCGTGGCCACTTGGACACAGGGAGGGGCCCAGCGCTGGCAGAGGGGCTTGAGTGTTCATTGGGTCCAGGACTTGCCAGTCATCTCAGCCTGACCAATGAGCAGAGCCCCCAGCAGGTGGGGCCGGCCCCCCTCAGCCAGGCACTGGTGGGGCACAAAGCACCCACTTGGCAAAACTGTGCCCAAGGCCAGTTCAGCACCAGTCACACCAGTCCTCGGCTCCTCTGAACTGACTTCTCTGGGGGGGACCCCACCCTGAGTGTGGTGCTGACTGAGGCCCAGGATGGGGTTTCTCAGCTACCTGGGTTCCCAGCGGGGCTGTCAGATTAGCAAATAAAACGACAAGGTACCAATTACATTTGAATTTCAGAAAGCAATGAATAATTTTTAGCATAAGTACATCCCATGCAATATCTGAGATATACTCACACTGAAAGGTCACTGGTCGTGCATCTGAAACCTGAACTGACGGATGCCCCGTCCTGCACCTGGCAACCCCCATTCCCATGGGCAGCTGCCGGGGATGGTGAGCCAGGTTCTAGCCTGAGACCTGGCCTCAGAGTGGACCCACTGGGGCTGAATGGGAGCCACCTCCCTGCCCATCTAGAGGTGCTGGCTGGGGAGGTGACTGGGACCCAAGGGGCAGGTGGGCCTGGCTTTGGGGAGCAGCAAAGGGGCGGTGGCAGGACTGGCACTGTGGCCACTCACCGCAGCCGGGTCAGGATGTCCAGCAGCTGCAGCCCTGGGACGGGACAGACAGACTCAGAAGGGCTCAGAGGCTGCCTCCGGCCACCCCTGCCTGCCCCAGGGTCACCTGCATCTTGCACCCTGTCCCCAACACCCCGCTCACTTCTACCACCTGGGGCACCCAGCCCTGCTCTGCTTCCCCAGAGGGGCGCCAGGGACGTGAGGCTCCAGAGGAGCGACACTGTGCTGGGCACACAGTGGGGCTTGGTCACAGCAGGATGGGCAGGGCTGGATGTGGGGGTCACGCTGCCTGTGCCCCTACACCACCCGCCAGCCTTGCAACTGGACACTGTCTAGGCTGACGCCCAGGTGCTCGGGGGCCCACTGAAGGGGCAGCTGTTGGCAGGAGGCTCCGAGGCCTGAGTGAGATGCTGCCTTCCTCTGGCGCCCGGTGGGGGGAAAGGGAGGGGCAGGTTCTGTGGGGCCCCCACTTTCCCGGGTGGATGCAGTTTAGGTTGGGCTGGCCCAGAGGCCCTGGGAAAGGTCTGCGGGCACAGTGGTGGCAGGATGGGGCACCCAGGCGGCCCTGGGCAGCACAGGGCCCCGGCCAGGGGATGTTTACCAACGAACTCGCTCCGCAGCTGGGTGCGCGTGCGCAGGTCCTCGGGGCCCAGGATGATGGCGTTGATCACGCTGAGCAGGGTGACGACGTAGGGCACGTTGTCGCTGTCTGAGAGCTCGCCCATGATGACACTGAAGCGGTACTGCTGGCTGCACACGGTCTGCGGGGAGGTGGGGTCAGGGCGCGCCCAGGCGGGAGGCCCCAGCCCGCCCGGCAGGTGCCGCCGCTCACCTTGTAGTGGTCGAGGGCGTCCAGGGTGAGGGCGTGGCCCTCGGGCGAGTAGATGCACAGGGCGGCCAGCAGCTCGAACACCTGCTTCTTCACCATCACGTTGGACGTGTCCAGGGCTGCCAGGGGCACGCGGGTCTCAGCGGGGCCCACTGCCCACCCTTGCCACACACCCAGGCGGCCGGGCTCGGGGCAGATGCCAGGGCTGCTCCGCACTCACCCCAAGCTCACGTCGGGCGCTGGGCAAGGGGCGGGCCCTGTGGTGCTGTCTCCTCCCCGCCCCATCTGCCTCCTGGACCACAGGGAAGGGCCTGGAGCTGGGGCAGCCCCAGGCATCTCGGGGTCTGCTGAGCTGGCCCCGCCAGTCCCATCCCTGGCTGTGGGCCCACGTTTTCCCCAGTCTCAGCCATGTCTGTGTTTACGGCAGACAGAGCCTGAGATGCCTCCCTGTCCCCAAAAGGCTCCGCCTCCGACCCTATCCCCCAGGCTGTGAAAGACGGGGGCATCTGTCATCTAGCCCCGCTGAGAACAGCCACAGAGGACTCGCTGGGCAGCCAGGCTGAGGCTGGCTTGGCCCCTGCACCAGCTCCTGGCCCCTGGGACACAAACGAGGCGGCCTCTAGCTCACACATGCAGGCACCTGCTGTCCCCACGGGCCTGGCTGCACCCATCACTGCCACCCCATCTGGTCCTGGAGCCCCAAGTGTCAGAGAGACCGGTTGCTGCCATGGAGCAGTCCAGCCTGGTGGGCAAGGGTCTCTCCCAAGGGGTCAGGACTGAGCACAACCTGGGCAGACTTCCTGGAGGGGGTGGCAATGAGCTGGCACTTAAAGGATGAGCAAGACCCTGGAAGCATGCAGAGAACAGCCTGGGCAGGGCCCGCTGCTGGGGAAGAAGCCCCCAGGTCCCAAGGCAGGGGACCAGGTGGGAAGGGGTAACCGGGGAAGGTGCCAGCAGGTGGAGGAGGATGCCTCCAGCAGGTGCAGGCCAGACCCGGAGCGCTGTGGCTGGGCTGGGGTCATGGGCTGGGAGCCAGGGACAGGGGAGGTGGGAGCCACTCGGGGGCCCTGTGATTTTGAGCAAGCGGCTCTAGCCGCCACAGTGCGGACGAGGGCCTGGACCAGCACAGGGCCGGGGGGAGGGTGGGGTGGAAGCACCGGACCGAGGGGACAGCAGGTGCAGCCGGTGCCGGGCCCACGGTGACCAGGGCTCAGATGTGGGGTGCACAATGCCCCCCGACCCCTGGAAGCCCCACTTGCCCGGCCCACACCCAGGCCCTGACTTCCGCCCGTGCTGCGAGGCTCACCGAGAGAGAGCTGGCGCGCGTAGGCCGGGTTGCTGAGGATGTACTCGATGCCCCGCGGTGAGTTCATGACGGCGCGCACGCAGCTTATGCAGGTGAGCTGCAGCAGGGCGTCCGCGATGCGCGCCACCCCGCGGCCCGACAGCCGCGCCAGCGCCTCCAGCAGCAGGTCCAGGCCGCTCTGCTCCAGGAACTGCACCATCCAGCCACCGTCGCTGCTCTCCAGCCGCTTGCGCAGGCCGGAGTAGTTGACCACGGAGGGCATCTGCAGCAGTCGGATGCACAGCTCGGGGTCGGCGCTCTCCAGGTTGGCCTCGGTGGGGTCCGAGTCCTGCGGCCCCAGCTTCTCCTTCAGCGCCGCCCACTTGCGCTGCGCACCCTCCTTCACGGACATCTTGCCGAGCTGCGGGGCCGGGGGAGAAGAACCGTCGGCTGGGGCAGGGGTGGAGGCCACACCCAGGCCGAGGCCCAGCGTGGCACCAGCGGCAGGTGGGGGCACAGTCCCCGGCCTCTTTCCCCGTCGTGCTTCCTGCTCGGAGGACGTGCTGTGCTGACAGGTCACGGTGGCACTCCGTCCCCTGCCCTGACGGGGGCTGCAAAGTTCCTGGGCCTCCCCGTGCCCATCCCTGACCGAATCACCACGGCGCCCAAGGGCACGGGCAGCAAGGTGCCCACTGCACGCACGAGGACCGGAAGAGGTCAGAAGCCAAGGCCGGGGCTGTGCACAGACCACACCTGGGTGGCCTGGAGAGGCCGGGAGGGCAGCGGGCGGCTACGCTGGCTGGAACACCGAGCCAGTGGTGATGAGGCCACAAAAAGGGTGTCTCTGAGGCTCCCTTATCTCGCTCCCAGGCTGCTTCCCCGGCCCCAGTGGGCAGGGTCGGACGGGGCAAGTGGTGGGTGGAGCCCAACCCCCAGGCACTTCCTGGGCTGCCCACAGTATCAGGAGAGAGGCCGGGGGCCCAGGAGCCGCCTGGAGGGTTGCCAGGCACAGAATGCCCCCCAGGCGGCCAAGCCGGCTCTTCCCTGTGCGTCAGTGTGTCTGCCTGAGCATGGTGGACAGACAGACAACCAAGACCTTGGCCCTCAGAGTTCTACCAGGATTCAGCCCGGACCCTTCTGGAAGGCCAGGGGGAGGCCTGGCCCAGAAGTATCCCCCGCCCCCGCCCCGACGCCTCTCCCCAAAGCAGAACAGGCGGCGGCTGCACCTCTGCTGTCCTCTCCACATCCACCAAGTGCCCCTCCCTGGGCCCAGCTGGCTGAGACACTGTCCCCAGCCACAGCCCCTGGGGACTGGCCTCAAAGGTCAGGGGCATCCCAGGCCCTCCTGCGACCATGTATGGCTCGGACCTTATATTTAGCGTTGAAAACGGCAGCGGGAGGGAGGCCTGAGGGGCAGGGCCTGGCAGGGACGAGGCTCACTGGGCTTGGACCCAGCCCCGGCACTCTGCGGCCGGCGCCCACCACTCCCGAGACGCTTTCCATCCCAGCTGCCCGGTGGGGAAGCAGCTCCCAGGGCAGCCAGGCCGTGCCCAGGTGCCACAGCTGGGAACAGCAGAGCGAGACTGGACCCCAGCGGGCAGCTCTGGAGCCCACCACGTGCCGACGGCCAGCCTGGCTTCACTCCAAGTGCTGCCCAACCTGGTACGCTGGGTGGACACAGGACGGGGGGCTGCTGGGGTCATAGGGGACCCAGAGGCCGAGTGGGAACAAGCGCGCAGGCCCGTCTCCCAGGGTGGCTGTGGTCCCAGCACCTGCCGTCCTCACCTTGGAGGCCCTGTTGGCCCCTCCACCTTGGGAGTGTCATGCAGCACCCTCCCCTGCAGTTCCCGGGCCGCGCCGCCCCTGCCCAGCTGCGCAGAGACCCAGCCTGGCCTTTCAGGCCATCCAGCCCCTCACCCCCACCTGTCCAATGCCCTGCGGGGCCAGCAGGATCCTCTGGGAGGCAGCCCGACAGGTGGCGGGACCTCCGGCCCGCGTGGGGACCTAGCATGGGCCTCACCAGTGGACCTTAGCCGAGTCCCTCGTGTCTGAGCCACGGTTCCCTCACCTGCACCTCTGGCGTCAGGCTGCTGGGAGCACCTGGGAGGCTGTAGACGCCCCTCCCCCTGCTTGCGCCCAGGTGGGTCATCTGCCCCCTGCCCCGAGCCCTAGGAGGGTGGAGAGCCCAGAGCCCCTTCCACCCCCGTGGTTTTACCTACCCTCCCAGGCCCGGCCCTCTTGGCCACCCCCACGCCGTCCACTCACCCAGATGCGTAAGACCTTCCGGCTGCCTCTGCCCACCCACTCTGGGCCCTGTCTCGGGCTGCCAGCATCCTCCTGGCTTTTCATCACTGCTGACCGTGACCTGCCTCCACTCAGGCGGCCTCAGGTCCCCAAAGCCCCCCGAGGTGGTGGGGGAGCGTTGCTCCCACCACCAAGCACAGCACGGCAGCCGGGCCTCTGCACGCACTCCCACCCACCTTGGGTGTTGCTGCTTAAAGAGGCACCCAGAACTGACCCCCCTCGCCCCGCCTCCGTTGGCCAGAGTCCCTGTCCCCTTGGCGCAGGCTGAGAAGACGGAGCACGAACTCTCCCAGGCCAGGCCTCTGGCATCCAAAGTGTCCTCTCCAGCCAAGAGCCCCAGGGATCCCTCCACGCACAAAACCCCGACCTTTTGGAGACAAGCGGTGTGACACAGGGGCTGGCTTGCCTGAGCACTGCCCCTCTTGGCGCTGCCCTGGGCATGCCCCGGTCCCCAGGGCTACGGGCTCACTCCAGGAAAGACCCCGGTCAACAGCAGCCCCCTCGGTCTGGGCGGGGCGGAGCCACAGCAGGAGGTCCCTGGCCTGCCCGCCCAGGCAGGGTCCTGTGCCCTGTTCCCTGGCATGTGCTCAGCATCCTGGGGCGGTGCCCCGCCAGGCACTGTCTGTGGGCAGCGCGGGGTGCAGGGCTCGGCTGAGCCTGTGTCCCACTAGGACGGTGAGCGTGGCGGGGGCCCCGGAGGCCGAGGCCAGAGCTGCTCTCCTCCCTCCGTGCTGCCCACCCAGCCAGGCCCCGTGCCGGGACGTCTCCCTGGAGACGCTCCCACTGCTTGTCAGGATGAGACACTAAACACCCAAGGGGACAACAGCCACACCATGTATGAGGACAGACGCTGACCCGCAACCTGCGCCAACCATCCAGGAAGCCAAACAAAACCCTGTAGCAATCAGCCCCAGACAGCTGGACTTGGTTAATAACTGACCGCTTCTGTAACTCTATCCCTGCTTCCAACTAGGACCAAGCAGAGAAAGTCAACTGTGTGCCCCTACCTGTCCCACAGAGCCCCCCTTCTAGCTGGGCGCCCCAGCCCCAGCCAGCAGCCCCGCCAGGGCATCCCCAGCCTTCCTTCTCCACAAAAAGCTTTCTATGTATACAGAGAGAAGGTGTCTGCGCGCACACGCACACACACGCGCGCGCGCAATAAACTACGCTTTCTCACTGCCTGCGGGCTCTGCCAAGCCCAGCGGCGGCCCCGATAGCGCAGGCTCCGCTCCGACGACATGGCGGCCCCGAGTGCTGGTTGTGCGTTTCTGCCAGGACCGCGGAGTGCAGGGTCCACAGCTTACTGGTCTCAGGAGCGCAGGGCCCAGGCACCAACACCGGGCTGGCGGGAACCTCACTCCTGGGCCTACTGGCTGTGTGCCCAGGGGCAAGTTACTCTGCCTCTCTGTTCTGCATCTGTGAAGGCGATTGCAGTGGGATCCCACAGACGGAACCGCAGAGCGAGTGCTCAGGGGTGACTGTCCATGCATGCCAGGCCCTTCCCCCTCTGGCCCTGCCCAGGGCCGTGGCATGGGGGCAGGGCCTCCAATGTGCAGGGATGTGTCCTCAGAGTCCCCCCACCCTGGCTGCAGGGGTGTGTCCTCCCGAGGGCGGGGCCCCAGGCACAGGAATTTGCGACCTTCGGAGCTTTGCACTCTGCAGGGCCCAAGTACCGGGCTCAGGCCAGACCCCACCCCTGGGGAAGCTGCAGGGTTGGGAGGCCAGGGAAGAATCCCCACCTGCCGCCCCCACCCCGAGCTTCAAACCCCCACTTCCCAGCACCGAGGGGACTACAGAGGGCAGGGCATTTGCGATGAAGACCCCGAGGCCGTGGGGCTCATCCTCCCACCATCAGCGGGGTGTCACCAGTCACGTGGGGTTTCTACTGTGACAGGCCCATGTCTTCCCCAGACAGGGGCGTCTGCAGGCAGGGTCTCCCTCGGGTGTGCATGGGGCCAGCCCACCCACCTGAGCACTCAGCCAGACCTGTCATGGTGGGGCTGCGTGAGGCCCTGGAGGGGAGGCGGATACTGGCCCAGTCCTCGGGGGGCAGCTCTTCAGCACCACGCCCGCCCGCCTTCTCCGCCTGCGCCCGGCCAGCCTGGCCTGGCGATGCCAGCACCCACACGCCAGGGCAGCTGCACTGACTCATGGGAAGCCACGAGCCACCGCCCCTACCTGGGAGTCATCTGTCAAGCTGGGGGTGGGGGTAGGGCCAAAGCCGGCCCCCACCAGACCTCAGAGACCACCTGTCCAGCCCCTGGCATGCAGGCAGAGACACTGAGCCAGGAGGGTGGGGTCCTGGTGGGCCCTGGGCACAGGGCTGTGCACAGCTGCTGGGGACCTTGCACGGGGGTCCACGGCCAGACCGAGACTTAGTGTGCCCACGTCCGAATCCGGGCTAGAGGGGCCTGAGCGCCCGTGTAGGCCCCTGGCCCAGCTCTGGCATCCGTAAGGCAAGACTAATGGTCACTGGCCTCCAGGAGCCAGGCACCGAGGGTCTGGCCCTCTGTCCAGTCCCTCAGCCAGCTCCATTGGGCCCAGAGGCCCCAGTGACATGTTCCGGATCTGTCTTGGGCACCCCCGACCCCTGGTGCAAGGCGGTTTGCCCCAGGGTCCCAGCTCCCACCAGGAGCACGCAGAGCCCGGAGCCTGGCACCTCAGGGTGCTGCCTTCTGGGGCTCCGTCCCTGTTAGACTGTAAGACTGCCTAGGGCCCAGGGGTCCTGGGGACCCCAAGGGGGTGGGGTGGGTCGGGCACAAGCTGGGCACATGGCACCCAAGGGGGCCACGTCAGGACAGCAGCTTTGGGGTGGCCCTGCCAGCGTCACGCAGGGCTGGGAGCCTCTGGGCCGGGGGCCAGCGGGGGCGGGTGCACGGAGGGAGCTTGTCTCCAGCGGGTGGGCGGGCAACACGGCAGGAGAGGGATTCCGGAACCGGGAGGCAGGGGCTGCCACGTGGTATTTTTAGCTTCTCCAAGAGCCCAAATTTTTCCACTGCCTGGCAACACTTGGATCCCCAGAACAGCACGCGCTCCTCGCGGCTCCAGGGGTAGCCCAGGCTGTGCGGGGCGGGGGAGCCCGGAGCTGAGCCCGTCCTATCAGGCTACCTCCTCCCA